GAGACCCCATTTCTACTATAAATAGAAAGAAATTAAACTAAAAATATATATTAAAAAAATTAGCCAGACATGGTGGCCCATGCCTGTAGTCCCAGCTACTCAGGAGGCTGAGGCAGAAGGATCGCTTGAGCTCTGGAGTTTGAGGTTACTGTGAGCTAGGCTGATGATATGGCATTCTAGCCCGGGCAACAGAGTGAGACTCTGTCGCAAAAACAAACAAACAAAACAAACAAACAAACAAAAAAACCAGATCAGAGTAGAAATTCTAATATAGATTTTATTATAGTTATTTGCCTTTGCATAGTACTTATAAAAATCATAATATATTTGATATTGACATAGCTCCTTATTTTAAATCCTGTGTTTGTTCTGTCAGAACATACTACTTTATAACCACAAAGCATTTCATAGATATTGACACATTTAATTCTTGCAAAAATCCCAATGAAGTCAAATAAAAAAGGCATCATTACTCTTATTTAAAAATAGGTAGTACAGGCTTAAAAAATTGAGTGTCTTGAGCAAACTTATAAAGCTGGCGAGTGATAGCACTAGAACTAGCAACGCTTATGTTGCTTGACTCTGTACAATATTAATACATGCAGATGGACCACATCTAACAGTGACTCCAATATGAAGACTGATCTCTTAAAAACCAATGAAACAGCTATGAATGATTTTAAAAATAAGGCAAAGTGTCTGAAAATTAGTTTTCCAAGAGATACTCCAGGAAGCAATGATCAGGATAGGTCATACTCCTTATTCTTTGCATGAGGTAATTCTCAAGGAACTGGAATGATTGTTCAAAGGCAGTTATTACAACTGACTGGAGGTAGAAGTGCATAATGGGTATTTAAATATAGTTCAGCACTTTTAATTATTTTTTAACGATCATTTCAATAATTTTCCAAGGAGATCTGGCATAATCAACGAACCAAAACTTCCACTATTTCTTGCATATTTCTAGGCTAATTTAATCCTTTCCTGCAAGTTTAATTAGCATTCAAATGAAGTAGACATTCCTCAGAGAATAAGGGCTGACAGCGTGTGTAAAATAAGATTGAACCAAGCTCTTGTGGTTGGTGTCTGGACTAATTTGGAGAAATTGTAGAAAAGCAAGAGCTTCATGCAGAGTGAGGTAATCCTTAGAGAGAGGGCATTTCAAAATTTCAGGGGTACTGTGTAGGAGGCTATTTCCAAGGCGGGGGTGGGGGGCGAGGGGGAGCGCATTATGACACTCAGGTGTACCCCATCAGAAAATAGCCATGCTAGTCAAAGTGTGCCTCCTGCGTCAGCAGCGTCAGCATCACTTAGGAGCAGGTTTAGAGGTGCAAATTCTCGGTCTACTGAGAATTCTCACTGTAGAAATATGGGTCAGAATCTCTGGGAATGAGGTCCCAGAATCTGTGCTTTAGCAAGAGCTCTATGTGATTCCTACACTGCCATGGAGCATTCTGAGAAAATTCCCCAAACCTCTTTCAAGCAGTCCAAGCTACCCACCAGTGAGTTTAGGAACCATCCTGAGGATTGGATGGGCCAGCAAACAAGGTCCCAAACCCTGCCATTTCTTCCATTACTTAGGTAATTTCAAGTTGAACATAACTGTTTTTTTTTCCCCTTTCCTAAAATATTTTTTGAAAAGAATAAGCAAAACTCAAGCTGAATTCAGCTGTCTAAAATCTGGTCAAGAAACAATCTTTTTTGTCTGACTGTATCTACTATCACGTAAGTCCCCTCTTAAAAAAACAAAAACAAAAAATGTAACTTGTAGTTCTGGTGCCTTCTCATTTCTGCTCTTCCCCCTAATCATTCCTTTCTTTGACTCATTTGTCTTCACTGATCGATTTTTGTTATTGAGTGGTGGATGTGATATGAAGAAGAAATCAGAAAGGAGAAGGCTGCAGGCACTCTGCATTTCACACTTTGTCAAGCTAATTTGCACTGCTTCTTGGGCATGGGTGCTAACCTTCATATGCGCTATCTCCGTTTGCAGTCTCTGCTGCTATTGGTATAAATGGGAACAGTCATTTTGGTGCATTTTTTTTTTTTTTTTGAGACAGAGTCTCGCTTTGTTGCTCAGGCTGGAGTGAATGCCATGGCGTCAGCCTAGCTCACAGCAACCTCAAACTCCTGAGCTCAAGGGATCATTCTGCCTCAGCCTCCCGAGTAGCTGGGACTACAGGCATGCGCCACCATGCCCGGCTAATTTTTTCTATATATATTAGTTGGCCAATTAATTTCTTTCTATTTATAGTAGAGACGGGGTCTCGCTCTTGCTCAGGCTGGTTTCGAACTCCTGACCTCAAGCAATCCGCCCGCCTCGGCCTCCCAGAGTGCTAGGATTACAGGCGTGAGCTACCGCACCTGGCCCCATTTTGGTGCATTAAGGTCATGTCATTCCAATCCACCACTGCCCCAAAGGGGTCCTTAATCTGCATTGGGGCTTGTGTTTCCCATTTTAATAAAAATGATTTTATATCACCAATCTGTTTATTTTAACTTGGACTAATTTCCATGGGGCTGTAAATCTTGGTTTCCATTTTATCAGAAGCTTACCTTCTCTCTCTCTTTTTTTTCCCTTTATATATATATATATATATATATATTTTATTTCAGCATATTATGGGGGTACAGATTTTAGGGTTTCAATAAATGCCCATTCCCCCCTCCCCTCACAAGTCTGAGTCTCCAGCATGACCATCCCCCAGATGGTGCACATCTCACTCATTATATATGTATATACCCGCCCCCCTCCCCCTCGCCCAGTACCCTATTACTGTAGCACCTATGTGTCCACTTAGGTGCTGCTCAGTTAATACCAATTTGCTGGTGAGTATATGTGGTGCTTGTTTTTACATTCTTTCACCTTCTCTTTTATCTCTGACAGTTCCTTCTCAGTTGCCCTCTCTGATTCTTCTTTTTTGATCTCCTCCATAAATGTATTCTTTAAAGTTATAGTCACAGCCCTCTTCTCTTCTGTGAGCTTGGAATCTTTGAACTTCTCTTGAAGTCAGCTTGTATTATGTTCTGGTTCCTAAACATTTACTTCCAGTTCCATCCTCTCTCATTACACTGATTTCCACCTGTGCACCTGGCATCGCCACCTGATGCCTTGAAGCACCCCACACTCCATTTGGCTTTGTCTTTAGCCGCTGGGACTTGCTTCTGTTCCTTGGATCTTCTAAGCTCTGTCTTGCCTCTGGACTCATGGCTCCAAGTTCTCATCAAAAATGCTGTCCCGTCCACTTTTTTTTTTCTTAACTATAGAACTATTTTTGTTTAGATTTTTACAAAGGTCATGCCTGACAATCTAATAACCTCTCCATCTCCCAATCCTGAATCTAAATTAAGTGCCTTTGTCACTACAAACTCTTTGAGCAACTTGTATTTTCCTTTTATACAGCTTAACACACTTTGGAGTTATGCATTTATTTAATATCACTTATTTATTGCTTGTCTCTTCCCTCAGGCCAGTGGTTCTCAATTTTGGTTGCATTGTAGAATCATATGGTAGATTTTAAAAAATACTGCTATGTGGGCTCCATCCAGACCAATTGAATCACTGGAGGTGGAGCCCAGACTTGTCCATTAAGGTGATTCTGATGCACACTGATCTGAATACCACAGCACTAAATGGTAAACCCTGGAGGGCAAGAACCATCTTTTGCTCAGTACTCACCACAGTTCCTAGCCCATAGAATTGAAAAATATTTATTGACTTGTATTAAATAAATCATACTAAGATTGTTCTAACATCTGCCTTATTTTAATTCTCTGCACTCCCTCTGCAGACACAGTTCCTTCCTTTTTGCCTTAGCTTATGTTATTTCTTTCCTTTATCCAGAACACCTATTTCCTCTTTCGCCTTGTTCACTCCAATTCATTTTTGCAAGACACAGCTTGGACATCATCTTCTATAGGAAATTTTGCTAGTACCCAGGAGGGAAAAGTGCCCCTACTTTATGTCCTACAGCAGTTTGTGCTTACTTTGACCATAGCACTTAACACATTGTTTTGGAAGGATAAAAGTGTTTCTCATCCTCATTCACTTGTGAACTCACCAAGGTCTTGGATCACCTCCCATTTCTTTAAGTTGCTCATCTTCCTCTATTTTTAATTTCCATTATTGACATCATCAATGATATAATCTCTCAAGATATAAAACCCAGAGTCACCATTACTTCTCTCTCTTCGTTTAAGTTAGTGATCAGAGATGTGCAAAAATATTACCCAAGGCGATGTTCATTGTAGAGTTATTTATAATAGCAAACATTTGAAAATTGATTATGATACACCCATAGGCTGGAATATCATGCTGCTTTTAAAAAAAGGATTGTATAAGATTACTTAATAATATATAAAACGTTCATATGATATATCATGACATGACAAGTTTCAAAACATATTTTCAGTATGATACCAATTTTATAAAACAAGCTCTGTCCATCTATCAATTTGTGTAAAAAAATAGGCCAAAATATATTTTTAGTGGTTATTTCTGGATGGTGGAATTTATAGCTTTGTGTTTTTATGTGTTTTCCATTTTGAAAGTAATGAACGTGTATTATTTTTATAATCATAAAAAGCAGAGTAAAGTTTTAAAAAAATGTGGCTTCAATTATTTACTTTTTGGGTGAGCAAAATAGAGGTAACTGATATTTTGTCAAAGACATAAAAAAGGCAGAACCACCTATCACTCTGTAACTTTCTCCTCTACTTTAAATATTTGGAATTAATGGGGTGTGACAATTGATAATTTACATTTATACAAAGCAGCTTTCCAGACTACCCACACTTCTATAAGTAATGAAATCCATACTGTCTTGTTCCGTTTTGAACTCTGAGTGCACATTATTGTTTTACAGAGCTGTATATCATAATTATTTCTATACTATGGCATTCATCCTGGACAAATTTTGTTGAAACTATGCTCTTGACCTGAAATTCTCAAGTGCATTTATTAGTTGTGCATTTGAAAAACAATACAGGTACACACTCACCTTTTTGCAGACAAAGTCACCAGGTAAATAGACAGTGGATTTCAATCTTAACAACATGTCATAAATCATCTGTGTGTCACAGCCCTATATAAAGAGAGAAATAATTCTTATAGACACAGCTGAAAAGCCAATATTTCAAGTGAATTTGAAATGCAATGTAAATAAATAGTAATAGATGTTGTCTGCATTAGCATTAAAATATTAATTGCCAATGGGTATAAACTTGCTTTGATCTCAAATTTTGAAAAAAAAAAAACCTATAGCATACTGGCAAGAGTTTGGATTTTGATCAGATAGATTTGGGTGTGAATCCTGTCTCCACTACATATTGTTATGTAATCTCTCATGCCTCATCTCTAATCTCAGTTTCTTAACCCATAAAATGGGAATAAAAATGGTCCTTCAAGCAAAACAACATGGTGCTTAATTAATGACTATTAGTGATCATGATAAATATGATAATAATGATTATTATTATATTAGGACAGACATGGATCAAAATCTTGGCTAAATATTTTTCTTTCTTATAACATCTTTGGTACTATATCTAATATTATTAGACATTACTTAACTCTGCAAGCTTGTATGTCTTTCTTTACCAACTCAATTTTCATCTTCTTAAAGGCAGGGAAAATGTATACAACAGATACAAAAGCAATATGTGTTGAGTGATTATTTATATCCATCTTCATAGTGTAAGAAATAAATTGTATTTCTTCAAATATGTGTCTATATTTGTAGTCTGTCTAAATAATTATAATTTATCTATATGATGGGCTAAAGAAAATCTATAGATGTTATAAAAATCTCACTTTACAGAGTGGTTTTGAATCTTTTGCTTTCACCAAATATTTATATTTTTTCCTCTCAGAGCTGCTAACATGTAGTAGCTTTCCTTTTGGATTTGGTTCTGCCCACCCCTTAGGGGAATTATGATTTTGCAGAGAACTAATCATCAAGTCAGTACCAGAGAAAGGAAGAGGAGAAGCAAATGGTCTGCCCCCAATTTGTGGATTCGATAATAATTCCTTCATCAATCACCACTTTTCTGTAATAATTTCAGTAGCAGACACTTGACCTAGATCCATATGAATTTTAGACCTTGGGGTAGCTTGACTGATAAGGAAAATTAACAATTTGTGATTGAAGTATCATCAAGTAGCCATTGGTGAGAAGCATTCAGATGAATTTTGTGTTAGAATTTAAAAAAATCATTTGAGAAAGTATAGCTTATGGTTCTCCAGAATAGAAAAAGGCCAAGGCCAGAAGGAATATCTTCTTAATACAGTCCAACAAATATTGATGAGAAGCTGGTTTGAGCAAGGCTTTGTATGATGCCCTGGGAGGAAGTAAAGATGAACCAAAGTCAGTCTAGCTGGGGTGATGCAGGTAAACAGAAAAGCTATAATTGATGGTAGAAGGTGGTAGAAGATAATCATGTCACAAAACATCCCCCAAATATCCATAAACCTTGTAAGAAGAGGGAAGTTACTTTTGCTCAGGAGTGGGATGAGAGAGAAGGGAAGCATCAGGAAAATGCTCTTGCAGGTAACAAAAGTGGAATCACTTGAGGATGAGTGTGATTTGCATTTGCAAAGATGCACAAAGGCCCTGTTAGGCAGAAGGAAATTTCACTTTTCTTTCCTTGTTATGTATTTGCTTTGCAAAAAGTATGTAATTTTTATTTATATTTGTTATAGTCCTACCATGTCTTTTAGGTTATCATATTTGCTAAAGCAAACCACAAATATAATTTTTTTTTCTAAAAGGTGTAGTTATTTTGTTTTCAGTAAAAGTTTTCTAAATAAATGGCTCCTATACTGAATTTCTTTAAATGCTGTCATCATTTGAGAATAATTTTATTTCAAAAATTGGCATTCTGATCATTTAAAACCCACTTAGAAAAAAAACACAAACATACTTTGGATTGATTTTTGGATCTTCTCTACTGAGGACGTTTGTATCTTTGATGTTTTAAAGAAAATCCATTTGAAATATGCTTGGAAGTTCTTGAGCATGGACATGTCTGGAATATTATTGCAACGAAGGTAACACTCAGACATTCATATCCATGGAGAAGATTTATATTATAAATGATTAGAAATAGAAGACCTCAAGAACTATTTACTTTCATATGTGTATATTTACTTTAATATATAAATAAAATATATTATATAAATATAAATAAATATATTGAATATATATAAATATATAAGATATATTTATATATTAAAGTAAATATATTTACTTTCATATGTGTAATTTGATTTTTTTTTGGCATTAAGTTTTACAATCTTAATTATAATTTGTAAGTCAAAAATACAATTTTTGTTCCTTAAATAAAATTCCTATTGGAATACACTTTGAAGAAAATTCCTAACTATATTAAGTTGTAGTCATAGGAATTATTAATGATTTTAAATGTTGTTTTCCTGTCACAGTAATTCTGATTCTCTCTTTCTATCTCTATATGTATATACACACACACAAAGATGTGTATGTATAGTAAATTCTTATACTTTTATGTTGCCTCAATGCCCATTTTGAAGTTTAACTTTCTTATCCCAGAAGCAAGGCTTAGTCACTCTTGTCACAGTTTCCAGTTCTTTGCCTCTTCCTAGTTCCTCAGTGTGGTTGATCCAAAATCTACCTTATACAACTGCCTCCTGGTGACCGCCTCTCTGTGGGACAGCTACATACTTGACTCCCCCCACTGACCCCCGTACCCCACATGGCCTGCACAGATAAGCCACAAGGACCACCTGTCAGTCACAGGGCGACACCCGCAGAACTCATGGCTGCTCACTATAAACCCACCAATTAGAACTCCCCATGGGAAACCTCCCTGGGTCACACTTGGATCCCAATAAAGGCTTTGCCCACCCCCCTCTCCCCCAGCCAGCCCCCACTCCCTACACACTGGCTGAGCACAAATATTCTCCCTTCCTGTTGGCCCTGTGAAGCTGCTGACCTGCTCTCTCTGGGATCTGTAAGGGAGAAAACTGCTCCTGCTTTTTCACACGTTCTCTCGTGCTGCCTCCTGTGTGCCTCACCTCACCCACACACTCGAACCTAACGTTTTTTCAGGTCAGGGCTCTTCTAGAGAGTGGCTATCTTGTAGGAATGAACTGGACACAGGTCAGACAAAAGCCAACAGGGGTAAACAAACTTCCTGTGAGAGGGACATCTGGTTTTGGTTTGGACACCTAGGTGTTAGGCCATCCGTCGGGATAAAGAAGTACCGGGTGAAAGGCGCTCTGTAAACAGCCACTGCCACCACCTCTGCAGCCTGGCCAGGCCAGGGCTGAGTTTATAGCCATTCTCCAGAGAAGGACCGCAAGACCAAGCTAGAGGAAATCATAACAGCATGGCCGCATAGACGATGGCCCTCTATATCTATGGATTTTGCATCTGCAGATTAAACCAACTGTGGGTGGAAAATATTCAGGAAAAAAAAAGAAAATAACAACACCACAATGAAAATAATACAATTTTTAAAATACAGTATAACAACTATTTAAAAGACATTTACACTGGATTAGGTATTATAAGTAATCTAGAGAAGATTTCGAGTATAAAATAGGTTGTGTGTGGGTTCTATGCAACAACTATTACTATCTAACATGTTATATAAGAGACTGGAGCTTCCACAGATTTTGGAATCCTTGGTGGGGTAGGGGTGGGTCCTGGGACCAATCCCCTGTAGATCCCAAGGGACAACTGTATCATTTTCTATCTTTTTTTGAGACAGAGTCTCACTCTATTGCCCCTGCTAGAGTGCAGTGGCATCAGCCTAGGCTCAAAGCAACCTCAAATTTGGGCTCAGTCGATCTTCCTGCCTCAGCTTCCCCAGTAGCTGGGACTACAGGCATGTGCCACCATGCCCAGCTAATATTTTATTTATACATATTTTAGTTGTCCAGATAATTTCTTTCCATTTTTAGTAGAGATGGGGTCTCGCTCTTGCTCAGATTGGCCTTGAACTCCTGACCTTGAGCAATCCACCCCTCTCGGCCTCCCAGAGTGCTAGGATTACAGGCATGAGCCACTGCATCTGGACTGTATCATTTTCAATACTCCGGACTGTATCATTTTCAATACTGAAAAAATTGGAAACAACATAATGTCAATATGTAGGCAGATAAAATATTGAATATTTATAGGTTGGATATCATAGCGTGGTTAAAATATATACACTATATATATTTATGTATGTGATTAAACTCAACAAGTAATGTGGTCTGAACGAAAGTATGGTAGAGAATATATTCACTAGGATTCTAACTATGATAAAACTACACAAAACACTGCCTGTTGTTTATGTTTATGTAGATATAAAGTAAAATTATGAAAATGAGGATTTAGAAGGATAGCCTCAAAAAAACATCCTAGTAGCCACCTCTGGGGAGGAAGGAAGGAGAATGGATCTGGGGAGAAGAATTAATGAGATTTCAACTTTAATTGTTTTTTTTTTTTTGAGACAGAGTCTCACTTTGTTGCCCAGGCTAGAGTGAGTGCCGTGGCGTCAGCCTAGCTCACAGCAACCTCAAACTCCGGGGCTCAGCGATCCTACTGCCTCAGCCTCCCGAGTAGCTGGGACTACAGGCATGCGCCACCATGCCCGGCTAATTTTTTGTATATATATTTTTAGTTCGTCAATTAATTTATTTCTATTTTTGGTAGAGACGGGGTCTCACTCAGGCTGGTTTCGAACTCCAGACCTTGAGCAATCCGCCCGCCTCGGCCTCCCAAAGTGCTAGGATTACAGGCGTGAGCCACCACGCCCGGCTAATTGTTTTAATTTTAATAAAAATAATAATGTCTCCCTTTGTGGAGAAATGCAGTTTTTCCCCTCTTTTATGCCTCAGGTGTGCTCACTGGCAGAATGCACTAATAAAGGAAACCAAATCAATGGGAAGTGTTAGGCCACCTTAGGAGATAAGCGCTGAAACAGACAAGCAAATAATTAGTGCTCTTCTCAGTCGGAATGTACACAAGCACTCACATTGATAGTTTCAGCTTTAGCTTGGATTTCCTCAGATAAAAACATTTGAACCATTCTAAATATGACTACTGTTAACACA